TAGTTATTTAGTTAGTTAGGTAAATTACAAAATCTATTAATGGGTTAATGTAGCAATTGGTGGACCAACTGTATAAGACCAATAAATTATAGATTGTTCTTCTTATCTTCTGTTTTCAAATTATAAGTACATGACAGGCCATGTATCCCCCAACATGACAGAGCAGGCATTTTCAAAACGGTATAGCAGCGCATCCAGAAAGTAAAAAATAAAAAAAATATATTTCCTTTTTAGACATGATCCTGGGTGACTTCTTCTTGGTCAGAAATAAAGGCGCAAGGATAGTCCATAAAATTATTCAGTGAAATCTCGACGCGTCTTATTGAGGGTGGGAAATAAAAACTTCAGTTGCGGGAAGGCATTAAAAATGAGAAAAATTAAAATACTGCACTTTTCTCTTTGGCATACACAAAATAATACACAAAAATCCATGTTTCAAAGTTATTTCTTTTATTCCAAAAATTAATTTACTTTTTAGGCGAAACAGAGACTTTTCTATGTTCACAAAGTTTTCCTCACCACCTTCACAAATTTTATGCGCATAAAAGAACGAATTCTCTTTACACTCTCGCCCATTATGGGCTCACATTCGTCTTCTCCTTCCTCACTGCTTCCGCTCGTTTCGAGATCGACTCACAACGCATTAATAGTGTCGACCCCGCATGAGGCAAGCTCGCTGCGCTTCTTTCGATATTGACCTATCTGTAAATAAACCATTTTAAATTCTAAAATCATTGCGTAAATTTCGTTGTAATTTCTCAGAAACGGTCAGTGTGGGAAAATTTTGGGCCTGGACTAATATTTTTGAACGGAACGCTAGAAGCGAGTAAATGTAACTTTATTTTGTATGGGACTTATCAGGGACCGAGCAAACCAGAATATGCATCTTCGAAAACAATAGTTCGGGGAACGATGGATAGATTTTTCGCCGTACTGCCAGCACTTAAAGGGGCAGACACATAAAATTGGCTCTTGGAGAGGCTAAACGTGATTATATATATATCGATTTTATTTTATATTTTTTAAGTAATTCAAATCGACACTTTAAAATCTATGTACGTCGATGAATAAATACCAAGTAGGTTTCCCGTGAAGAGGGATTGAGTCCCAGAAAGATTGATTATTTAATATTTTATTATTAATCACGAACAAAATACCTCAGTTTCAATATTCTACATCTACAGTTTAAACATTGTGTATAACTTAATAATGTTTTTATGATTTGCTTTGATTTTATTTTGACTTCTTGAACAATTCTTGCATTTGCAACAACACATGCTTCTTACATATGCATGTATAAAATTAACTTATAATGAAATAAGAAACAAAGCTTTAAATCGAAGAACAAGATATTCAGAAGTGTAATTGCAAGCACACGTAGACATTTGTGTTCAATGTGTTTTGGATTTCTTGTGGTATTTCGAAGATCATTGCTACTGGATTTTGGGATATAGGGAACGACCCGTTCTTCAAGTGCCTGAGCACTGCGTGCCCCAACTATTCGTTAGTTTGATCTACAGACATTCGGTAGGACTCCTTGTGCTGTCCTGTGTACAGGTAGAGACCTGTACACAGGACAGCACATCACAGAAAACCGCGGACAAATATCCATGGCTTGAGTGGAATTCGAACCTACGTTCCCAACGACCTTGCGGCAGAGGCCTACTCCTCAGACTGCACGGCCACTACGGACCCCATTTCTAATATTATAATAACAAAAATTAATTTTATCTAATTCATTTGACTACAGATTAGCGACAATCTGTGCCACTATACGCAAGATCCACACAAAGTATAACTCAACGGGCAATCTGAAAACACGGAAGGCGCAGAACGAGCTACGTACTTCACGATATGTCGCCGCCAAAGACGAACGCAGTCCTCTGAAGGGAACAGTAAAAGAGCTAGATTTGAAAATGCAGTTCACTCAAGAAACCCAAGGGTAGAACAATATTCATTTAGAAGAGGAACATTCTAGAATTTTTCCTTCCACTTTAGCAGAAACTTTCTAGATTTATCACCGAAAAAAATAACAAGAGAGATGAAGTTCTGGATCTACAGCTTTAAAAAACTACCGAAACGTCTTAAATGTTCGAGGAAATCAGAATAGAGATCATAATCTTAGATGATCAGCTACTAGCTTTCGCAAATGAAGGACGAAATGACAATTTATAAAGAAGCTAGAAATCAATAGCAAACTACTATAATTAGTCAGATTGCAGAAAACCGCAGTCTAAAAGCCGAAGTGCAGGACCTGGAGTGGAAGCTCGATGTAGACTACGCTGCCATGATTAAGGAGCAATTTGCAGGCATGAAGGAGCAGTTGCTGGGTCAAACAATGGACATTCAGTTTCATTACGTCAGTGTGAACAACGACTGTCTTCAATTGCGAGACGAAATCAGCATTTACGAAGGAGCCAAACGTCAGTTGGAACATGAAGTTTAAAACCAGGTAGAAAAGCTCGCTGATCACAGTCAAAGCTTAATTTCCGAGTTCCGATTTACGTGCCTTCGAAAAGGAAATCAGACAACGTACTGATAACTTTGAACAGCCAATTTGATTTGATATAGATCTCGTGGAGAACACGTTCAGTTGTGTAAATCGTGAGCTGCAGGTTCTGGTCCATAAGATTTCATACGAAGAGTACATTTAGCTACTTGCGATTTGGAAGAACGGCTTGGCATGTTATCTTCAGTTTTGACCGTGAAACACCGACGAGGCAGGAAGTGGCTGAATTTTTATAACGTCAGAAAACTATTTCAGTATAATCTCTCCTCGCCCACTTTGCTAAGGTGCGTTTTAAATATTTTTGTGTTAACATTACACTTTGTCAGACGGATCCTTAATCAGTGTTATGTTCCTGTAATTCTAAATGACAACTTCGTCATCTACGGCTAATCTGTTAGAAGTTGGAGTTCTTATCACAGAATATCTGCAATTACCTACGTGTCAGTAGGATGGCGATACAGTATTAAAATTCAGAATTTCAAGGGTGTGTTTGGCGTTGGGGGTGTCAGTCGCTAGAAGGTGTAATTTTGCACAGTGATTTCAAGTATTTGTGCTTAGAATTCATTATCTCACCAGGTTATTTAATCGTACCACAGACACATGGATCAAACAGAAGCAAAAATAAGTGTACTGGTCCACACTTATTTGCGGATCAGAATGTCACTTTGTGACGAAAACATTTATTAACTATGATGTAAACAAAATACTCAGGTCTATCAATGTATTGGGACTGCAATATTTATCAACTAGATCGTACCCAATAGGTAATAAAGTATGGACATAGCAAAGTTTTCCAGCTATTTCAGATATTTTAGCTCAGTCTTGAACTGAAAACATTGAATTTCACTGTCCTCAAGTGAACTAACTACTATGCCTCCCTGTGATTGTCTTATCAACGCCAGGATATAGGATGACTCATAACTCCCGTTCCTTACTTATGGGTTAGTGTGGCGTCTCTCAACCCCTGTGGTGGTACCATTGGTGGTACGCTAGCCAATGTTGAGTGGTACGCGAACTAATTAAGAAAATCAAAAGATAATACTATCATAATTTATTTTCCCACGAACACATTTGATCAGTGATACATTTAATGTGTTAAATTAGAATTAGTGGTATGCCAGACACAAAGGGTGCCAACCCCTTGGTTAGTCAATATCGTGTTCGATTAACGAATCTATTTTTCATGTTGCTTTGTGTGTGTCATGCGGCCGATAATTCGTAATTTTTAAGATTACGAGGTGAAAGGTATGTTATTGTACGGTTCATTGGCTTTACCAACTTAAACACTTCATGCTTCAAATCATAACTACTTTTTAATCTAAGGATTCTGAATATTGCAAATTCTTTTATATACTTAGCTTATATGTTGTGTAATTGTTTTCAGGGAAAGGAAATATACGATGAATGTTTAATGGCGTTAGTCGATGTGATAAGTGTTGGAAACAGCCTTTCTACCGGTGAGAAAGAGATGAGCTGTCCCACTATACGCCGTGTAGGTCGCATTGGGGTGGGGGAGGTGGTATATAGCTCCTACTCATTCGTAAACTGTATACTAGATGGTGGTGAGTGATCAGCGTCACGCCCTGGCCGCTATTTACCACTGGCATAAAACCCCCGCTTCCCATGGGAATGGAGGTTGGTTCGTACTCCAGAACCGGTGTCTACGGTACAGGAAAAATCATCTACCCCCGTCGGAGATCGAACAACGGGTGTCCAGTCACTGATGTAATGAGCTACGCCGGCTCATTATATCCATTAATGATAAACAGACATTCGGTTTTAAGAGGCAATGTAGATTCAATGTTTTAAATTAAACTTTAATTGTAATTCGGGAAGAAATTAACATGCCTAAAACTACACACTCGGATGGTCATTATTATGAAGCCTGAACTTCTAATTCAATTCCATAAATCCGTTCAGTATTACCGTCTTAGTTCAGCTACGATTGTGATTAATTTACTGTCTGATTATCCATATTTTATTTTTATTCATATTTATTAACTTACATTTTGTTGCCTCCTTCATTTCCACTCACTTCAAGAGTCATAAATTCTAGGTTTTCACGATGAGGATTTTGAAGTTAGCCTCCTAAATGTCTGCCGACGTTTCAGTAGACCCGACTTTCTTCAGAAAAATAGGCGTTGACGGAATGAAAGTGAGGGGGTGGTTAGGGCGAGGGAGGGACCGCAGCTCTGCTCAATGGGGTAATGATGGGCCGGCGATTGAAGAGGTCCTTTATTGTTATGCTTTTCTTTTCATTATTTACAAAGATTTTTATAATCATAATAGCGCAACACCACTTACAAATTTGAATGTAACGGTCCAAATTATATGTTTTGCTAAGATAATTTGATCATACGATATATTTTGTTATTATTTCGTTAATTTGAATTTATTTTAGTTTCTCTTCAAAATTGTGACGGCGTAACTCAGCCAGTATACTTACTGGCTGCGGACTGATCGTCCGGGGTTCGATCACCGACGGGGGCTGGGGAATTTTGCTAAAACCTCTGCGCCTATACCGGGTCTAGGGTCCACACATCCTCTTATTGGGTATCGGTGTCCTTTCCCAGGGGTAAAGCGCGGCCGTAGCGTGATGCTTACCACTAACCCCCGCCTAGTGCCTAGGTGAAAAATGAGTAGGAGCTATACCACCTCTCCCCCCAAGCAACTACATGGCGCATAGTGGGACAGCTTTACTTTGCGTTACTTTACTTCAAAATTGTAACTTTATGTGGTGTTTGGAGCGTATTACCCAAGTGTTTATCAGACACAATTGTGCGAGGAACTTCAGTGCCTGAAAATCTTTGTTTTGACACTGATTGGAAGTGACTTGCTGTGAAGTGGATGTAGTCCCACCTGTCGCACGTAGACTTTTGCTTAAATTCAGTTTGAACATTATGGTTCAAGGTCGATCAGCAACGAATTTTACTGGAACATGCATTTTAAGGAATATAAATGAAAGAATTTTAAGTAGCCATTTAGAGTCAAGAGCTATATGTAACTGACTACGACACTAGTTTGAATGTCGGTTTGACTCTGCAACAATTTTTAATCAGTGACGTACACATAATCATGTTCTTGTCCGCTACAAATTATAAATTTCAACTTTATTCATCTTCTTGATACTGGAGTCAGGCAAAAATCTTTGGAGTGTTTTTCAGTGTATTCGCAGTCTAATTAAGTAAATAAGCGTACCCAATTCTTTAAGGGACACAGAAGTGCGAGGACCTTCAGTGCCTGGTAGTCTTTGTTTTGAAACTGATTGGAAATAACTTGCTGTGAAGTGGATGTAGTCCCACCTGTCGCACGTAGACTTTTGCTTAAATTCAGTTTGAACATTATGGTTCAAGGTCACTCAGCAACGAATTTTACTGGACCATGCATTTAAAGGAATGCGATTGAGACAATTTGAATTAGACATTTAAAGTCAAGAGCTGTATGTAACTGGCTACGTCAGTGGTTTGAATGTCGGTTTGACACTGCAACATAAATATGTCGTGACTGACGCATAATCATATTCTTGTACGCAACAAATTATAAATTTCGAATATATTCATCTTCTTGATACTGGAGTAAGCCAAAATGTGTGGAGTGTTTCTCAGTGTATTCGAAATCTGATTAAGTAAATGATCACAATTCTGCACGTCGTCGATTATTCAGTAACAGCGGCACACTCTAGATGTCTGTAGGTACATGCCGTTAACATAGGAAGAAGAATCAAGTACCTACCTAGGAGTTACTATCACTCAGCGGCTCTAGTGGACTACCATAATTCAGATTATTTTTACAAAAAAAATATTTATTGTTGAGCCAAAATTTTTATATCATTAAATAACACAAATTAAACAATAAAAATTGCTATACGACAATTGCTTTTCTTTTATTCCAACTTCATCACTGTACCTATTGAGTGCAAGCGTACCAAGTGTGTGTCGTTAATGGAATATCTTATTAAAATCAGCAAACAGTCTTATTTAATGAACAATAATTATTAATATAAATCAGAAGATTTTTTTAAAGTAACCTAAAAACCTTCAAACGTGTAAGTAAATAAATTTCTTTGAATATAAAAGTAGAATTGGAAATCTGACAATACCTTAAAACACATAGGGGACACCAGGGCAGAACGGGGAACTTAATCTTTGGAGGGATGTGGAAGTTACAATAATAAAAATAAACACATGGAGGAACCTTGTGTGGATTTAATGTTTATTGAAATTATAATGTGTCATTAGTTTAGTTCTAAGAGTTACAGTTTTTTAAAATATTACTTTTTTATCTTTGAATATCGTTTATAAAATCAGGGTACACTCGACGGAAACTGTAGGATGTAAGGCAGGGGTGGCCAACCCAAATGATCTTTCGGGCCACTTTGGAAATGCATCATAACTCCGCGGGCCACATATAAAATTATATATCCCCATATTAGATTTAGATACACTATAGACATTTTTTTGGAGTGAAAAATTGAAACATAATGAGTTATTATTATTGTGTTTACTATTATTCTTACATGTAAACATAGATAATATAATAATAATGAATAAAACAGGCAATATCTGTCATATATTCGCAAGAATATTATTTTAAAATCAAAGTTAATTTTTTCTCATAATTTCGACAGATAATTTTTGAATATATGGATGCACAAATAATGTATTTTTTTAATACATTGGTTTTCACTACTTTGGCCATTATAAAATAAATATATTTGGTAAAAGTGTGATGAATCTCGCGGGCCGGAAAAATGTTCAAGGCGGGCCACATGCGGCCCGCGGGTTGGCCACCCCTGGTCTAGACCTATGTAAGATAGAGAATATAAACCTACATGTAAATTAAAGAGTAAATAAAGGGCTTTTTCTATGATGTTTACTTTATTCTATAATGCATATTTTACACATTGTTAAAATAATTACCCAAAACATGTAATAACTATACCCTCGTTCCTTAACTTCAACCGCTTCCCACGTCTAAAGCGTAAGAGTTAGATCTGACATATTGCGAGAGAAATACATAAAGAAACACGAGATTTTCAAATTTGCAAGCAGATTTCAACTAACTCTTGCTGGTTAGGAGTTTTGGCCATTTATTTGGTAGCAAAGAACGGTGCTAGAGTGAGTGTGTTGAGTACATAACGCAACACATAAATAAGCTGTTGGCGGATGACGTCACGTATAGATAAGATGTCGGCTAGAAGCAAGCGTGCCAAAAACATGAGACAATTAATAGTATAAAACGAAAGCGTTTAGAAAATCCTGACTATGAAATATGAACTACTTTCGTACCTAAACGGGCAAAATCAAATCCTGAACGGCAGCGTAACTTCAAAGAGCGTAACAAAAATCCAAGAGGATAATCAATGCTGAATACATGCGTGAGTATAGAAAACGTAGGTGAGAACAGCAAAGAACTGAATCCCATACATCAAATGAAACCCCTCGTACACTAAATGTATCGCATAATATTCAGGCAGATGAATACATTGAAAGGAATTTTAAGGGTAACCCATTTGGTTACGCCTGCGACGTATGCGATAGGCTTTGGTTTTTGGATGACATAAAGCCCGTAAGGTCAAAATATGTAGATATTTTGTCTAAAGAGTTTCCAGACAAAGACGTGGCACAGTTTAAGGCCTGCATAACGTGCATGTTAACTTTAGACAAAAATCAAATACCTAAACTTTCAAGCAGTAACGGATTCACATATCCTCCTTATCCAACTCATTTGCCTCATTAAACTAGTTGCCCCTAGACTCCCGTTTATGCAAATCAAAAGATTGAGACACCAGACTGGGGGTTACGGCATTATGGGACAAGTCATAGACGTACCCGTAGATGTAAATAATATGGTTACTACTCTACCCAGACAATTAGATGATGACTACAGTTTCAATGTACATCTGAAGAGAAACTTGATTCACAAGTCCACTTACTTGGAAAGTTATGTAAATAAGGGAACGGTAAAACGATGGTTGGAGTACTTGATACAAAGACCACTCTACAAACATTTAAATATTACAATTTATCAAGACTTGTTAACTGCTCATATGCCTGAGGAAACATTCAATATTGAGGAAATGAATGAACAAGCAAACGATATTGAATGGCTCCTATCACAACAACACACCAGCTTTGGAACGAAGACAAGTATTTGGAGATAGCCGCCGGTCAGCACAACAAACCACTAAGTATTATATACGACAAGTATGCCGAAGAATTGTCCTTTCCTGGTATTTACTTAGGACAACCTAGAAAATTTAAGGAAACAGTAAAAGTAACTTCTTTCATGATGGCGACTAGTGAAATTCTTTGGAAAGATCGTAGAGGAGTTACACCTCAACACATCCTATATATGGCTATGAAAATCTTAAGATTGCGAGTATGCGAGGGACTGTATGCCACTTTCAGATGTATAAGTGAAACTGGACAAATCACTAAAAATGATAGGAGATAAACAGTACTGGATACAGGAAAAAAGCGGCACAGATGAAAGAATCCATTGAAAAAAGTTACAGTGGAACCATGGTTGCGGAGGATTAGACGTAAATACGTCTATACGGAAAGGAAGTTTATATATTGGCTTTATTCTAAATATATCCTTTATACCCGCTTTACAATTGAGTAAAGTTTGATTAAGACATTGCTTATTTAACTTGAATTACTTACGCTTAAGATGGGTCTGTGGTAGATGAATGTAATGTAAGGTAAGGTAAGGCAAGGTAAGGTAATGTAAGGTAATGCAATGTAATGTAATGTAAGGTAAGGTAAGGCAAGGTAAGGTAATGTAAGGTAATGCAATGTAATGTAATGTAAGGTAAGGTAAGGCAAGGTAAGGTAATGTAAGGTAATGCAATGTAATGTAATGTAAGGTAAGGTAAGGCAAGGTAAGGTAATGTAAGGTAATGCAATGTAATGTAATGTAAGGTAAGGTAAGGCAAGGTAAGGTAATGTAAGGTAATGCAATGTAATGTAATGTAAGGTAAGGTAAGGCAAGGTAAGGTAATGTAAGGTAATGCAATGTAATGTAATGTAAGGTAAGGTAAGGCAAGGTAAGGTAATGTAAGGTAATGCAATGTAATGTAATGTAAGGTAAGGTAAGGCAAGGTAAGGTAATGTAAGGTAATGCAATGTAATGTAATGTAAGGTAAGGTAAGGCAAGGTAAGGTAATGTAAGGTAATGCAATGTAATGTAATGTAAGGTAAGGTAAGGCAAGGTAAGGTAATGTAAGGTAATGCAATGTAATGTAATGTAAGGTAAGGTAAGGCAAGGTAAGGTAATGTAAGGTAATGCAATGTAATGTAATGTAAGGTAAGGTAAGGCAAGGTAAGGTAATGTAAGGTAATGCAATGTAATGTAATGTAAGGTAAGGTAAGGCAAGGTAAGGTAATGTAAGGTAATGCAATGTAATGTAATGTAAGGTAAGGTAAGGCAAGGTAAGGTAATGTAAGGTAATGCAATGTAATGTAATGTAAGGTAAGGTAAGGCAAGGTAAGGTAATGTAAGGTAATGCAATGTAATGTAATGTAAGGTAAGGTAAGGCAAGGTAAGGTAATGTAAGGTAATGCAATGTAATGTAATGTAAGGTAAGGTAAGGCAAGGTAAGGTAATGTAAGGTAATGCAATGTAATGTAATGTAAGGTAAGGTAAGGCAAGGTAAGGTAATGTAAGGTAATGCAATGTAATGTAATGTAAGGTAAGGTAAGGCAAGGTAAGGTAATGTAAGGTAATGCAATGTAATGTAATGTAAGGTAAGGTAAGGCAAGGTAAGGTAATGTAAGGTAATGCAATGTAATGTAATGTAAGGTAAGGTAAGGCAAGGTAAGGTAATGTAAGGTAATGCAATGTAATGTAATGTAAGGTAAGGTAAGGCAAGGTAAGGTAATGTAAGGTAATGCAATGTAATGTAATGTAAGGTAAGGTAAGGCAAGGTAAGGTAATGTAAGGTAATGCAATGTAATGTAATGTAATGAAATGTTTTATAGGTAACAACAATGCTAAGTAAACATATAACGTTTCCTTGGTACCAATAATGCCGAGTAAACAATTGACGTTTGCTAGGTAACAATAATGCCTAGTAAACAATTGATGTTTCCAAAGGTAACATAACAATGCAGTTACACTTTTTCGTTCCACTTTTTAGTTTCACTTTTTGCCGAATGACACTGACCCGAAAATATAGACGCATTTACGTCAAAAAAGACTTATGATACGATGGAAGAATTTCTGTAGGATCACAACGTTGATATTGAAGAGTACCGGAACGTTGTGCTTGCCAGCATTAGTGGACGGTCCGTCATGGAAAAAAGAATAATGATGGAGCTCTGGACAAATACCTTACATCCTTGGACTGCATATGTGCTAAATTCAAACATGGACCTTCAATTTATACTAGAGGATTACTCTTGTGCAGCTTACGTTGTGGAGTATGTAAACAAAACAAATCGAGGAGTGAGTCATTGCACAGGGAACTCATAAAGTTACAAAATATGTATCCAGATCAAGACTACGTCGATTTGTTGAAGGGTGTTAGTTTACGCCTCTTAAATAACGTAGAGATGAGTTCGCAGGAAGCAGCTTGGTATCTTCTCAGGCAACCAATGTCAGAAGCTAGTAGAGATTCAGTCTATGTACCTACGTGCTGGTCTCACGAACGTCAAAAAACACGCAAAACATCTAAGCAGATGGAAGAAAATCTTGACGATGAGTCCACAGATGTATGGTAAGACAACATCATACAGAAATATGAAAAGAGGCCCATTGATACTATGTCGAGAGTAACGTCGGCTGAATTTGCCACGGAGTACACTTCCAAAAGAAACGGAGAGTACAATATAGAGACGTTCCGCGCATATTGCGATACAGGCATTACGATGTGGCCGACATTGCAGAGTACAAGCGTGAAATGGTGCTGTTGTACTGGCCTTTCAATAATGAAATGCAGGATGTTTTGGATCGCAAGAAATTTATAGAGATGTATGATCTGAATGAAGCTCACATACTTGCAGAAAGGCTCAAGTTTGAATCTGACTTTGATATAGAAAAGGCCATGGAATATTGCAAACAGCTTCGCTTGGAAATGAACGAGCAGGCAGAGGCTAATATTAAACAAGATATCTTTCTTCAAATGCAGAGGGAAAAACCCAACAACGACGACATAGACATGATTTCTAACGGTTTGTCCGCTGTGGTTAAAACCAACTCAAATGTGACGTCTAGCGATGAATATTACACCATGAGTAGAGAACAACTTGAAATGTATAGGGCTGCTTTTCACAACGTGAAGATTGTATTTGTGGACGAGGTGAGCATGGTGAGTGTTGATATACTGTAAACTGTGCACTTTTATTTGCAGGAGATCACCAATGAATTTGATACACCTTTTGGTGAAATGGATATCGTATTCTGTGGAGATTTGAGGCAACTGCCACCTGTAAATGCACGACCCGTGTTTAAGCCTCACAAGGATTCTCTCAGTGGAGCTGCTTTGTGGCAGTCATGACAATTTTTGCCGTTGACGATGGTATTTTCGACAGTACCCACTAAAATGGGCAATGGAGAAATATTGACACCCAATGAAAAAGCTCTTGTGGAGAGTAGGTTTAAGACCAAGGAACAAACCATTCGAGTTTTACCGCATGCTATGTGTTTATTTCATAGGAATCAGGACGTGGAAGATTACAATAATGAGGTGTTTCAAACTCTTGACACAGTATTTTGTGTTGCGTACTTTACGTTTTCTGGGTACAAAAACAACGATCAACTGGTTAGCATGACGACAAAACTACATCAAATGTCCACCATGGAAAGTGGAGGGTTGCCCTACGTGTTGAAATTGCTACTAGACAAACCATACATGATCACATCCAACGTAGACATTGACGATGATTTGGTGAATGGAACGATGGGAACTATTAAATACGTAGTGGGATGATGACGACGAAGGAAACTTCAGGGTTAAGCGTTTGTGTTTTGATTTACAACCAAACACCGTAGGGCAAAACGCAAGAATCAAGGTTCAACCTAATGTGCTGTCTCATCAAAATGTAATGAGGCAAAATTGGACGCCTGTATCTAGGCGAACTGCAACGATTACGTTTAGAAACAGGCAACTCAAATGCAAGCGGTTGCAATTTCCTATAGTTGAAGCATGCGCTATAGCAGTGCACAAGTCCCAGGGAGGTACTTTTATAGATATAGTGTTCCATTATGAAAAGGGGTTGGATCAGCAACTCGTTTATGTATGATTATCCAGAGTGACGTCTACAGACAAACAAACAAATCACAAATCTGACTTTACATTCCACCACTGGAAAGGATGCAATTCTCTCAAGATAAAAGACTTGAGCACAGAGCTCGCACATTTGGAGAGGCATAAATTGCTCACTCTTACCAATTCTGCAAAAGTATTTCTTCAGCAAGCGTGCCTTGGAGGCCTCAAGATGAATACTCTCAATGTGCAAACCTTGCTGAGCCACGCCAAAGACTTTTCCACAAATCCTGTCATCACATCGACGGATATACTTGCTCTAACGGAAACGAAAATGGATGATGGACAAACCGTTAAAGCAGATGGATACAAATGCGTAACTCAATTCAAGCGGCAATCCGTTCGTGCTGGAAGAGTTGCCATATACGAAAAACATTTATCAACAACCATGGCCACGCGCCATCTGCTCATGAAATTGGACGACAGCATGTCAAATACTTTTTTTAAGATAGCTGCTGCCGACAACTGCGGAGATATTTGTGCTGCAGAATGTTTGGTAAATGGACCTTTGAAACGTCGGTAAATTTCTGCCAGACAACACGGAGGATCAAGCTAGAAGACAGTCGTCTTCAGAATGGATTCCATTGATTCTGTTATGTGTTGTTTGTAGATGTTCTGGTTTTTATTATTGTATTACCAAGACAAACTGGTCGAGATATAAATGGTAAATGAACAGCGTTGGTGTTCTCCATCGTTTCCCTGGTTCAGCACAACCTCGCCATCAAACGAATAGTACAATAAATCAATATTTTATGGGAAGAATTGGGTTAGGGAAACCAAGGGCACACGCGACTCGCTATTTGATACGCAGATTTGGGCTAATTCATGTCAATAAACATGGTTAATTTAATATCAATGGTCAAGTGGCCGATTTTGTTGGCTGAAATTTTAATTGGCGATCAAACTTCGGACATTCACTGGAATATTCGTCCATAACTTCCAACTCTACTGTTTGTGAGCGTAGGTTATGTTGGGTTAAAATGGCCCCGAAACTAGAATTGGCATTCAGAAGAACACTGAACTTTCTTTTCTTATTCTTCCTTTTCTTACGAGAATTAGATGTGTGGAAACGGTGATTACAAAACAGAAGATTTATAAACCTGTTTTAACTTATCCGTGCTCCCTATAAAAAAACTCTTCGACTCACTTTCTAATTATATTAGCTAAAATGAAAATTTAAGTTGTTCCTAAGTTCGGGTTTTCGTTCCTGTATGTAAAATGCTGGTTATGACGTCTTGTGCCGCTGGACATACAGATTCGTCAAAATCCCTCTCGAATAAGTAAACGGCGTGTGCCATCTTTATACGAATCCTTAAGTCATGAACGACGAACTGGGAAGAAATCATAGAGCGACCACAGAGAACTATCATAGCATTATGGAGTCAAAGAGAAACAAACTGGGAAGTTGCTACGATATTATCAGAAATAGGACAAGATTGTCTCCTCTCGAATCCATAATATCCAAACATAATCATTTGAAAAATCAACAAAGTCGTTAAAAACCCAAGGATCAACAACTGGACAAAATTCAAAAACCGAGATCAGCAAGTCATGGAAACAAACTCTCCCCATCACACGTCAACGTCAGTTGTCGTTATATTTTCTGACATGGTAACAGGGGAGAAGCGGTCTAGTTCTTACAAACTTCAATTACTATTTGTTGCACATTTATACTTAAAATTTGCAAAGTTAGTAATTATGGCTTCAGTTACTACTACTACTATAATACGGATATGCTAATAACATTTTTTAAAGGCCTATTTATTATTGATTCACCACAAATCTTGTTTATTTAAGAGAATGCGTTTTGTAACAATGAGCCCTGTTATGGTGCTAGTTGGTACAGTGAAGGGAAAAATTATTAAAACACATTGTATTAGTAAACAGAAGGAACAAATCAGACCTTTATTAAGGAATTAATTATAGACAATATACCAATTAAAAAGTAGTTACTGTAATTAACATCAAACGTATGAAATGTTTCATCATACATTAACAGTTTGCCCTAACGAGATTCCTCCAGAGGAGACTTTATCGGCTGCTAAATTAAACGTTTCCAAACTTGTATCACCTCTATTAGTAGCTCCTTTTGTATGTACGTACCATTTTTCATGATAAAAAGTGATAGTGGAACCACGGTTCCGGAGAATTTGACGTAAATAAGTCTATACGGAAAGGAAGTTTATATATTGGCTTTATTGGCTAATTCTAAATATTTTCTTTATACATGCTTTACAATTGAGTAGATAGTTTGATTAAGATATTACTTATTTAATTTGAATTAGTTACGCTTAAGATGGGTCTGTGGTAGCTGAAATATGTTATAAAATTTGTGCACTTTAGAGTATCAACATTTCGTGCAAACACCATATCTATACAAGATTTTGATCTATTAGTACTACATTGAGTATTTGACATCAACATTAAGAAAAAACGTTTCCTCCACATGTGACAAAACTTTGATTTTCCTCCTTCTTTAAATCACCTGCCAATATTATGGGCATTGTATTACGACCTTCTGTGGTCATAATTGAAAATATATCTGTAAATTTTGGGCAAACGTTTCAAAATGACAAAACAAATCTCTTACAATCATCATTTGCATAAAGTAAAGTAAATCTGTCCCTCTACACGCCATGTAGGTCGTTTGGGGGGAGCACAGTTATACCTCCTACTCTTTCTTACATTGGTTCATTAAAATTACAATAAATCCATAAATAATTATAATTACAATAAAATAAATTGCAGATTCTTACAGATCTTTATTTAGTAATCATTTTACATATACATTACCCTTAATCTTACCATTCCTGAGGAATGATCGTTTAAAAGTGACTCAGCGCTGGATCCTACACATCTTCGTAACTAACGCTGTTTTTGCAGAATGACCCTTCGGTATAGACGTATTTACGTCTAAAGAAGACAAGCCTAATTCTCTTACAAGAGTTCACAAATGCAGATGAAAACATTAAATGTGACGAACAATAATAATAAATAGGAATCCCTTACCTCAAACTCAGGTCACTTGTAAGAGACCACGATGTAAACCGGCAATGATCAATTTAATCAAAACTAAAATGGAGAGAGTGGAGGGCAGTATCACAGATTTCTTAATATTTCTTATATAAGATGAATACTTGTGATATTCTAAAAAGTTTTAACAGCACAAAATTATCTACTCTACGACGCACTTCTTCTACAAGCGATTCAGAGCTCAGCTCTTTCCGCAATAACGAAAGCGGATTGATGACGGCAGTAATGAAACACAACAATGCCGAATAAGCAGATGACATAAAGATGAGTTCCTTAGGTAAAGGAGAGGATTGCAATACGGTTTATTCATGCAATTATACGGCATGCATAATAAATGAGAAAAGAGCCTTACGGCATGCTCAGCCAATATTGTTGCAGGCGTGTGTTAGAAATTCGAATCCTTTTTCTTACACTAGAGCAACGTGCTCCTTCCGGAGCGCATTCTCTAATATGATATTTTACTTCTTTACTTCGCTGTTCTTAGTCAGTCAACTTTCTACGATCTATTATTCGATGAAGACGTATTGTTTCTGTTAAAATACTATGAGAAATAACGGAAGGGAATTTTTGAAGGCAATAATTTAGTTTTTACTAGTAAAAATACTTAAAACAACATAGTTCACGTAATACACAAGCTACAAGTACCACACATTGGGTAGAACTGCACACAGGGGGAGATGCATTAGATGAGAGACTCTTGAGATTCTTCTGCAAATGGGTGATTTTTAAACTAAAATAAAACAAGTTCCCCCTGTAACAACTAGCCCACTTCTCCCCTACCAAATCAAAATAGGCAACAACACGTATATGTGGTTACACTTGGTAGGATTTCAGCTTCTCACGGAGACGAGTATGAAGAAACGTGTCTTCGGGGATGCTGAGACCTGAAGATGGAGGCAGGAAGCACTCCTGAAACGTCGCGCATACTTCTATCAGACTGCATGGCACAGCAAACCAGAATCCGCTAAGTTATCTTGTGTGGTCACAATTCGTATAATTTTGTTTTGATGAGTGTTTTCCTATGGACTCTTTCCTTATTCAAGACATACAGATACGTGTCTAAAGAATGGATTTATTTTATCAGTTTCTCTTATTCCACAATGAAGACCTAATAGGTAATCAGTAACGTGTCCTATTTTAAAATGCGAATTTCTTGATTTGGATGTTTGAGCATTACAGCTATCTGAAACTAATTTCCGGAAACAAGACATCGCCAGCCAAAGGTATAGAATAAACGAAGTCAAAGATATATATTAAAAGCACAAGCTAACACTTAGGGCTCAAATATCCATTCTGCTATTCTGGGGTATAACGCTTCAGGCTTGAAGTTTTAAGTTCCTCTGACCCGTAGGTACCTACAACTACATAGCTAACCAACCTATTACCGTGATACAGAAACATCGTAAGGAATCAATTAATTGTTTAATTTTATGGTGCTCAAAACTTCATCACTGTGTTCAAATGAATAATTTCAATGAATGGAATCATACTTTGTTTCAATTTTAATATTAATATTACACCAGACGGACTTGGGCAGCACAATTTCTCCGCATTACATTCGCATCGTGCAAATGGTGCTCAACAGTGGTAAGAGTAAACAGCTCATCGGAAGCAACAATGCATTGTCGCTTCCGTTGACTTGTTTACTAGTTACAAATTTAATTCAGTTTATTGTCAGCTTTCAAGCGGTTGTACGGTTAGTCACAAGATTGGTACTAATTCCTGAACTTTTAAAGTGTTTAATATGGATAACTTCGAAACAAGCGGAGAATCTTCATTGAATCAACCTAATGTAATTCGTAAACCAAAGGAAAAACGTGAAACCAAGGAAACGATAAGCAGATGGTGTAAACACTGTTTTTTTACAGCAATCTGTGACGATGTGATTGAAAATTTGTGTGTGTTTGTGTTTGTGTATTGGTGTGTGACTGAGCATGCGTTTGTGTTTGCGTGTTTGTGCATGTGGGTGTGTGCGTTTGTGTGTTTAATCGTGTACAAGATTTTCAGAGTATGTGAGTGTGACCATGTGTGCGTCCCGGTAATTTTGAATGCAGTTGGTGAATTATAGCTACAATTAAGACTCGATAGAATGGCGATGAAATGGACCTTACGCACACCTAATGCAAAGGAAATAGAAGTTATAGAGCACACCGATTTGACCACACCATAAGTTCTCAGGACAAGATGCCAGTGATGCGAATTGCGGATGGTAAGTCACAAATCCCCATCGCGACTAATGTCAAAACGAGCGAATATTTGTGTTTAAAACGGCAAAGACGACTGCATTTCATCTTTATCTTTATTTGGAAAATCAGTGTGTTGCTACGAAACTTCGTAACAATGCTTTGTTCATTGCCTCCGCAGGAATTTTATCATATTTTTGCGTCTCTATACCCTAATTTGAAAAAACCTGCATTCATTCTACTCGATCTTTATTCAAGATACATTTCAATATTATTCTCCCGTCTCTATACTGAAGCTTTGTGTAGATTACTCGTCATCTGAATAAGCATTATGAATGTCCTAGCTAAGTCATTTCAATTTATTTGATCTCCCTAATAATATTTGGTGACGAGAGAACTGCGGAAACTTCCGTTTCTTGTAGTTGGATTTTTAATTGTCCAGCTTTATTAACTTTTTCTATTATGTTCGTTATCCTAACTTGCATTAGTCATTAAATTTTCTAGTGACGTTCTTCGCTTACCTGTTCAGGATAATGCGAACTTAAAATAATATTGTGTTTATGAAATGAATTTAATGCTTAAAGGTGGGCGTAAGAGTCAAGTAAATCAGCGCAATGACCAGACACAAAATTTGTCGTTGATTAATCCTCTTGCATCTATTCTTTCCCCACAGATTTAGTCCGATTCTGAGGATAAAGACGGACACACTTCTATGTATGCGATCTTCACTGTCATAAGAGACGGACTCTTATTTTAGATGTATGAATTTCATCAATAATGAAAACCTTAAACGTTTGTACACCTCTTCCAATATTGTCAAGGTGATTAAGTCAAGGAAAATGTGGTGGGCTGGGTATGTGGCAAGAGGTGTTACTCCGGGTATTGGTCAGGAAATCTGATGGATCGAGTCCGCTGGAGAGATCTAGACGTAGGTGAGAGGATAATGTAAAGCGGGATCTATGGCAGACATTATTTGAAAGCAACTGGAATTGCTGGCCCAGAACAAAGACCGGTGGCGGGCTTTTGTTAATCTAATGTTTCATAGGTAATAACAATGCTAAGTAAACAGATGACGTTTCCTAGGTAATATAACAATGAAGTTACACTTTTTCGTTTCCCTTTTTCGTAACACATTTTTGCCGAATGACCCTTCCTCATAGACGTATTTACGTCAAAAGTAGTTACTGTAATTAACATTAAACGTATGAAATATTTTTATCATATATTAACAGTTGAACCATCTGTTACCCTAAGCCATGTAGTTATTTAGTTAGTTAGGTAAATTACAAAATCTATTAATGGGTTAATGTAGCAATTGGTGGTCCGACTGTATAAGACCAATAAATTATAGATTGTTCTTCTTATCTTCTGTTTTCAAATTATAAGTACATGACAGGCCATGTATCCCCCAACATGACAGAGCAGGCATTTTCAAAACGGTATAGCAGCGCATCCAGAAAGTAAAAAATAAAAAAAATATATTTCCTTTTTAGACATGATCCTGGGGGACTTCTTCTTGGTCAGAAATAAAGGCGCAAGGATAGTCCATAAAATTATTCAGTGAAATCTCGACGCGTCTTATTGAGGGTGGGAAATAAAAACTTCAGTTGCGGGAAGGCATTAAAAATGAGAAAAATTAAAATAGTGCATTTTTCTCTTTGGCATACACAAAATAATACACAAAAATCCTGTTTCAAAGTTATTTCTTTTATTTCAAAAATTAATTTACGTTTTAGGCGAAACAGAGACTTTTCCATATTCACAAAGTTTTCCTCACCACCTTCACAAATTTTGTTCGCATAAAAGAACGAATTCTCTTTACACTCTCGCCCATTATGGGCTCACATTCGTCTTCTCCTTCCTCACTGCTTCCGCTCGTTTCGAGATCGACTCACAACGCATTAATAGTGTCGACCCCGCATGAGGCAAGCTCGCTGCGCTTCTTTCGATATTGACCTATCTGTAAATAAACCATTTTAAATTCTAAAATCATTGCGTAAATTTCGTTGTAATTTCTCAGAAACGGTCAGTGTGGGAAAATTTTGGGCCTGGACTAATATTTTTGAACGGAACGCTAGAAGCGAGTAAATGTAACTTTATTTTGTATGGGACTTATCAGGGACCGAGCAAACCAGAATATGCATCTTCGAAAACAATAGTTCGGGGAACGATGGATAGATTTTTCGCCGTACTGCCAGCACTTAAAGGGGCAGACACATAAAATTGGCTCTTGGAGAGGCTAAACGTGATTATATATATATCGATTTTATTTTATATTTTTTAAGTAATTCAAATCGACACTTTAAAATCTATGTACGTCGATGAATAAATACCAAGTAGGTTTCCCGTGAAGAGGGATTGAGTCCCAGAAAGATTGATTATTTAATATTTTATTATTAATCACGAACAAAATACCTCAGTTTCAATATTCTACATCTACAGTTTAAACATTGTGTATAACTTAATAATGTTTTTATGATTTGCTTTGATTTTATTTTGACTTCTTGAACAATTCTTGCATTTGCAACAACACATGCTTCTTACATATGCATGTATAAAATTAACTTATAATGAAATAAGAAACAAAGCTTTAAATCGAAGAACAAGATATTCAGAAGTGTAATTGCAAGCACACGTAGACATTTGTGTTCAATGCATTTTCGATTTCTTGTGGTATTTCGAAGATCATTGCGGACAAATATCCATGGCTTGAGTGGGATTCGAACCTACGTTCCCAACGACCTAGCGGCAGAGGCCCACTCCTCAGACAGCACGGCCAGTAAGGACCCCATTTCTAATATTATAATAATAAAAATTAATTTTATCTAATTCATTTGACTACAGGTTAGCGACAATCTGTGCCACTATACGCAAGATCCACACAAAGTATAACTCAACGGGCAATCTCAAAACACGGAAGGAGCAGAACGAGCTGCAAAGTTCACGAGATGTCGCCGTCAAAGACGAACGCAGTCCTCTGAAGGGAACGGTAAAAGAGCTAGATTTGAAAATGCAGTTCACTCAAGAAACCCAAGGGTAGAACAATATTCATTTAGAAGATTAACTTTCTAGAATTTTTCCTTCCTCTTTAGCAGAAACTTTCTAGATTCATCACCGAAAAAAATTACAAGAGACATGAAGTTTTGGATCTGCAGCTTTCAAAAACTACCGAAACGTCTGAAATGTTCGAGGAATTCAGAACACAGATCATAATCTTAGGTGATCAGCTACTAGCTGAAATAATGCCGATCGAAATAAAGTTCATTCAAGCAAATAATTAGCGTTCGGAAATGAAAGACTAAATGACAATTTATGAAGAAGGTAAATAGAAATAAGAAATTACTATTAATAGTCAGATTTCAGAAAACCACAGTCTAAAAGCCGAAGTGCAGGACCTGGAGAGGAAGCTCGATGTTGACTACGCTGCCATGATTAAGGAGCAATTTGCAGGCATGAAGGAGCAGTTGCTGGGTCAAACAATGGACATTCAGTTTCATTACGTCAGTGTGAACAACGACTGTCTTCAATTACGAGACGAAATCAGCATTTACGAAGGAGCCAAACGTCAGTTGGAACATGAAATTTAAAACCAGATTGAAAACCTCACTGATCAGAGTCAAAGCTTAATTTTCGAGTTCCGATTTACGTGCCTTCGAAAAGGAAATCAGAGAACGTACTGATGGTTTTGAACAGCCAATTCGATTTGATATAGATCTCGTGGAGAACACGTTCAGTTGTGTAAATCGTGAGCTGCAGGTTCTGGTCCATAAGATTTCATACGAAGAGTACATTTAGCTACTTGCGATTTGGAAGAACGGCTTGGCATGTTATCTTCAGTTTTGACCGTGAAACACCGACGAGGCAGGAAGTGGCTGAATTTTTATAACGTCAGAAAACTATTTCAGTATAATCTCTCCTCGCCCACTTTGCTAAGGTGCGTTTTAAATATTTTTGTGTTAACATTACACTTTGTCAGACGGATCCTTAATCAGTGTTATGTTCCTGTAATTCTAAATGACAACTTCGTCATCTACGGCTAATCTGTTAGAAGTTGGAGTTCTTATCACAGAATATCTGCAATTACCTACGTGTCAGTAGGATGGCGATACAGTATTAAAATTCAGAATTTCAAGGGTGTGTTTGGCGTTGGGGGTGTCAGTCGCTAGAAGGTGTAATTTTGCACAGTGATTTCAAGTATTTGTGCTTAGAATTCATTATCTCACCAGGTTATTTAATCGTACCACAGACACATGGATCAAACAGAAGCAAAAATAAGTGTACTGGTCCACACTTATTTGCGGATCAGAATGTCACTTTGTGACGAAAACATTTATTAACTATGATGTAAACAAAATACTCAGGTCTATCAATGTGTTGGGACTGCAATATTTATCAACTAGATCGTACCCAATAGGTAATAAAGTATGGACATAGCAAAGTTTTCCAGCTATTTCAGATATTTTAGCTCAGTCTTCAACTGAAAACTTTGAATTTCACTGTCCTCAAGTCGCCCCACCGGCCGGTGTAACGTAAATTCTTTTACTTTTATGTCCGTGTGAACAAACAAAGAGATATGAAAATTTACATCGGCTGAAATATTAGTAAACGTTGCTTATTGATCAATTTTACTGATTTATAACACACGACCAGAACTAACTACTATGCCTCCCTGTGATTGTCTTATCAACGCCAGGATATAGGATGACTCATAACTCCCGTTCCTTACTTATGGGTTAGTGTGGCGTCTCTCAACCCCTGTGGTGGTACCATTGGTGGTACGCTAGCCAATGTTGAGTGGTACGCGAACTAATTAAGAAAATCAAAAGATAATACTATCATAATTTATTTTCCCACGAACACATTTGATCAGTGATACATTTAATGTGTTAAATTAGAATTAGTGGTATGCCAGACACAAAGGGTGCCAACCCCTTGGTTAGTCAATATCGTGTTCGATTAACGAATCTATTTTTCATGTTGCTTTGTGTGTGTCATGCGGCCGATAATTCGTAATTTTTAAGATTACGAGGTGAAAGGTATGTTATTGTACGGTTCATTGGCTTTACCAACTTAAACACTTCATGCTTCAAATCATAACTACTTTTTAATCTAAGGATTCTGAATATTGCAAATTCTTTTATATACTTAGCTTATATGTTGTGTAATTGTTTTCAGGGAAAGGAAATATACGATGAATGTTTAATGGCGTTAGTCGATATGATAAGTGTTGGAAACAGCCTTTCTACCGGTGAGAAAGAGATGCTGTTAACTAAGGCAGAAGAGTTGCAGAGGAGAAGGGAAGAAGTGAAGAAAGAATTTCCACATATCGAGCAGTTTCATATGATTAACGAATGAAGTGGTGCCCACTGCTTGCAAACATTCCAGAATGTCCCCGTGCGTGCCTCAAGGTCGATCGACGAAGAACTCTGTGGCTCCCAGAGAAGAAGTTACTGAGGACAATTTGCATCACTTAGAAGCAAAAGCAAAGCTGTCCCACTATACGCCGTGTAGGTCGCATTGGGGTGGGGGAGGTGGTATATAGCTCCTACTCATTCGTAAACTGTATACTAGATGGTGGTGAGTGATCAGCGTCACGCCCTGGCCGCTATTTACCACTGGCATAAAACCCCCGCTTCCCATGGGAATGGAGGTTGGTTCGTACTCCAGAACCGGTGTCTACGGTACAGGAAAAATCATCTACCCCCGTCGGAGATCGAACAATGGGTGTCCAGTCACTGATATAATGAGCTACGCCGGCTCATTATATCCATTAATGATAAACAGACATTCTGTTTTAAGAGGCAATGTAGATTCAATGTTTTAAATTAAACTTTAATTGTAATTCGGGAAGAAATTAACATGCCTAAAACTACACACTCGGATGGTCATTATTATGAAGCCTGAACTTCTAATTCAATTCCATAAATCCGTTCAGTATTACCGTCTTAGTTCAGCTACGATTGTGATTAATTTACTGTCTGATTATCCATATTTTATTTTTATTCATATTTATTAACTTACATTTTGTTGCCTCCTTCATTTCCACTCACTTCAAGAGTCATAAATTCTAGGTTTTCACGATGAGGATTTTGAAGTTAGCCTCCTAAATGTCTGCCGACGTTTCAGTAGACCCGACTTTCTTCAGAAAAATAGGCGTTGACGGAATGAAAGTGAGGGGGTGGTTAGGGCGAGGGAGGGACCGCAGCTCTGCTCAATGGGGTAATGATGGGCCGGCGATTGAAGAGGTCCTTTATTGTTATGCTTTTCTTTTCATTATTTACAAAGATTTTTATAATCATAATAGCGCAACACCACTTACAAATTTGAATGTAACGGTCCAAATTATATGTTTTGCTAAGATAATTTGATCATACGATATATTTTGTTATTATTTCGTTAATTTGAATTTATTTTAGTTTCTCTTCAAAATTGTGACGGCGTAACTCAGCCAGTATACTTACTGGCTGCGGACTGATCGTCCGGGGTTCGATCACCGACGGGGGCTGGGGAATTTTGCTAAAACCTCTGCGCCTATACCGGGTCTAGGGTCCACACATCCTCTTATTGGGTATCGGTGTCCTTTCCCAGGGGTAAAGCGCGGCCGTAGCGTGATGCTTACCACTAACCCCCGCCTAGTGCCTAGGTGAAAAATGAGTAGGAGCTATACCACCTCTCCCCCCAAGCAACTACATGGCGCATAGTGGGACAGCTTTACTTTGCGTTACTTTACTTCAAAATTGTAACTTTATGTGGTGTTTGGAGCGTATTACCCAAGTGTTTATCAGACACAATTGTGCGAGGAACTTCAGTGCCTGAAAATCTTTGTTTTGACACTGATTGGAAGTGACTTGCTGTGAAGTGGATGTAGTCCCACCTGTCGCACGTAGACTTTTGCTTAAATTCAGTTTGAACATTATGGTTCAAGGTCGATCAGCAACGAATTTTACTGGAACATGCATTTTAAGGAATATAAATGAAAGAATTTTAAGTGTCAGTGGTTTGAATGTAGGTTTGACACTGCAACATACAATATGTCGAGACTGACGCATAATCATATTCTTGTCCGCAACAAATTATAAATTTCAAATATATTCATCTTCTTGATACTGGAGTAAGGCAAAATTTGTGGAGTGTTTCTCAGTGTATTCGAAATCTAATTAAGTAAATGATCACAATTCTGCACGCCAATCATTACTCAGAAATAACGGCACTCTCTATTTGTCGGTTTCTACATGCTGTTTTTACCCTAAGAAGAATCAAGTGCTTACCTAGGAGTTATTATCACTGAGCGGCTGTAGTGGACTACCAAAATTCCGATTATTTTTACAAAAAAATTTATATCATTAAATAACTGAAATTAAACTATAACATGTACAATAAAAGAATTGCGTGTATTTTTCATTCCTCATTCTCACTGAACTTATTGAGAGCAAGCGTTCCAAAAGAGTGTCTTTTATGACATTCCTCATCATCAATACCATCAGTCAGTTTTATTTGATGTACAATAAGAATAATTATAATTATTAATATAAATCAGAGGATGTTATATTTAAAAATCCAAAAACCTTCATACATACAATTAAATAAATTTCTTTGAATATAAATCTAGAGTGGAAATGTGACAAAACTTTAAGCACATAGGGGAGACCAGGTCAGAACGGGGAACTTAATCTTTTTGAGGGATGTGGAAGGGACAATAATAAAAATAAACACGTTGAGGAACCTTGTGTGTTTTCAATGTTTATTTAGTTTATAATGATTCATTGGTTTAGTTCCAAGAGTTACAGGTTTTATAATTATTAATTTTTTTTTACAAGAATATAACTTACACAATTTTGCGCCGTGCCCGGGGCAAGAAGGGTATGGTTGATATATGTTTGAAAAGATGTAAGAAGACACAGAGAATCCAATAATTATGACATAGGATATAAAAATGATTTAGTATACAAAGTAAAATGTCGAAATTTTACACATTTCAAATCTAATTAGGCCTAACACAGTCGGCTCACATGTTCACCTCTTCATCATCGTGACTATCAACACCTGCACATGAGTTATGGGCCCATTTCAAGCAAGACGAATACTTGTCCACTATTCAACAGACTGTGAATTGACATCTCCACAGTATAGGCACTTGTCATTTCATCCTCTTCTTTGGATACCCCATTCTGTCCTTTCCCATTCTTCTCTACCCCATCTTGCCCCGAGCTGTGATTTAGCTGCATTTTTATAGGAGATGAGGGAATTTGAAGGTGTGCAGTTAGGTTGATATTTCAGAACAAAGTCCTATATAGGTGCTCCTCTAACCGTTTCTTGAGCAAAAGTATTAGAGTATTTCACAGGTTGTGTTACTTTGCAAGAAGGGATCGGGGGCCGAGGTATATATCACTCCTGGGATCGTCCTGACAGATCTTGAATTTGGCTGTTGTAGGTGGTGGCCAATTTTGTGTGTAGCCTATTCGCTAAACCTTCAATTTTATTTTTGATCAGTGGCATCCGGTCTGTTCGTTCAGGGTACTACTTAGAGTAACAATTCGCAATTTGGTTAATATTCTGAGGACTTTGTTCTGAAATATCTGAAGTTTGTGTAAATACGTTTTGGTAGCGTAGCCCCAGGCGGGGGATGCATACGTCAGTATAGACCAGAGGAGTGATTTATAAATTATTAACGATAAATTTACATCCATTCTACAGGATTTATTTAGTAAAGGAAATAGCTGCCTCAGTCTCAATTTTGCTGTACGGAAAATGGATGATATGTGGGCCTTTATTGTCAATTTGGAAACTCGTATGATACCCAGATATTTGGTTTCCGTGGTAAAAAATAAGGTTTATCTTTATTTTGGGAACAGTGAGGCGATGTTCGCGTAAAAGTTTGGAAAACACCATCGTGGTACACTTGTCTGTGTTGATCTTAATTTTACATCTCAGAAACAAGGGTTCGAGAAGGCCTATTGCTCTGTTTAATTTCGCTATTGCTATGTCTATCTTTCCTGAGAGAACACTGATATTTGTGTCGCCTGCATAGATTCTGATGGATATGTTCAAATCAAACCCAGTAAAGCAGAAGCTCGTAATTTTTTAAGAATTCAGTCTGTACCGCAAAGAAAATATCTCTTCACCATTTCGATGAATAACTAAAATTCTATTCGCACCTCCATAATTAAATTTCTCGCTGGTTTGCGTCACAGTAGAAAGATGTGTTTGAAAAATATGAACATCTAGAACGTACCTTCTCTTCGTATAAGATGAAGCTTACGGTGAATTTCTGTAAATTTATCACGTCTTCTTTACGTTTGGCAATATTAGCCCTCATAAGCGCTGTTATTTTTATTTCAAAAATAAAATAAAAACTACAATATGATGCCAGAATAAATTCCTTGCGGTTTGGGGTTCTACGCTGCGGCTAGTAAACATATCGCCCTGAAGATGGCGACAGCATGCAACACTGAAACGTCGACAAATTTCTGACAGACAACACGGAGTTTCAAGCTAGAAGACAGTCGTCTTCAGAATGGATTCTTTTGATTCTGTTATGTGTTGTTCTGGTTTTTATTATTGTATTACCGTATTAGACATTAGATATAAATGATAAATGAACAGAGTTGGTGTACTGCATCTTTTCGCTGGTTCAGCACAAACTCTCCATCATGCAAATAGTGAAAGAAATCTACATTTTATGGGAAGAATCGGTTTAGATGAAAAAAGGACATACAGGACACGCTATTTGATATGCAGATTTGGTGTTTATAAACACGGGAAGATTAATATTAATGATCGAGTCGACGATTTTGTTGGCTGAAAATTGTATTGACGACCGAACTCCGAAAATTCACGGGAATATCCGTGCATGGTTTCCCACTCTAAGATTTGAGAGCGTATGTTAAATAGGGTTAAAATTACCCCGAAACTAGAATTGGCATTGAGAAAAATCCACTGAACATTCATTTCTGAACCTTCGTCATATTACGAGGGTGAGTCAAATGAAAACAGTATTTTTTTTAAATTTAATTTATTGAGTGAAAGCGGTACACAACTATATCATTTTTCTACATAGTCTACATTTCGTTCAATACAGGCCCTCCAGCGTTTACGAAGTGTATGGATTCCTCTAGAAAAAAGTTCTGTGGTTGTCTGCGCAATCACTCATCCTCCGCCTGCTGTACCTCTTCATCGGAACGGAACTTCTTTCCTCCCATCGCCTCTTTGAGTGACCCAAACATGTGGTAATCACTTGGGGCTAGGTCTGGTGAGTATGACGAATGTGGAAGACACTCAAAGTGCAAGTCTTGGATTGTTGCAACTGTTGCACCGGCAGTGTGGGTCCGAGCATTATCATGTTGCAAAAGGACACCTCTAGTCAAACGTCCACGTCGCTTTGATCTGACTGCAGGTCGAAGATGATTCTTCAAGATTCTTTACTGATCAAAAAACGAATTACAGAACGTTGTTCTTCTTTCGTGCATGTAACTAGTGGAGCAGCCATCTTCAAACTGGCACTGTGATGGCGTTCTGTTTGTCTGCACTATACTGTCACCTATAGGACACTCTTTATAGCTTTGGTAACATGTCTGCCAACTTATAGGACAATGGCGCGATATTTCGAATTTTTATCTCAGTTTTACGGTTTTCATTTGACTCACCCTCGTACGAGAATTAAATGTCGTGTGGAAACTGTGATTACATGACAGTAGTTTTATAAATCTGTTGGAACTTGTCCGTGTTCAATACAATAAAAAAGAAACCATCTCCAAAACCCCAGGGTATACAATTCCTAATTATATTAGCTAAAATGAAAATACATTGGAAGTTTGGGTTTTCGTTCCTGTATGTAAAATGCTGGTTATGACGCCTTGCGCCTCTGGACATACAGATTCGTCAAAATCCCTCTGGAATAAGTAAACGGCGTGTGCCATCTTTATACGAATCCTTAAGTCATGAACGACGAACTGGGAAGAAATCATAGAGCGACCACAGAGAACTATCACAGCATTATGGAGTCAAAGAGAAACAAACTGGGAAGATGCTACGATATTATCAGAAATAGGACAAGATTGTCTCCTCTCGAATCCATAATATCCCAAACATAATCATTCTGAAAAAGCAACAAAGTCGTTAAAAACCCAAGGATCGACAACTGGACAAAATTCAAAAACCGAGATCAGCAAGTCATGGAAACAAACTCTCCCCATCACACAACGTCATTTGTCGTTATATTTTCTGACATGGTAACAGGGGAGAAGCGGTCTAGTTCTTACAAACTTCAATTACTATTTGTTGCACATTTATACTTAAAATTTGCAAAGTTAGTAATTATGGCTTCAGTTACTACTACTACTATAATACGGATATGCTAATAACATTTTTTAAAGGCCTATTTATTATTGATTCACCACAAATCTTGTTTATTTAAGAGAATGCGTTTTGTAACAATGAGCCCTGTTATGGTGCTAGTTGGTACAGTGAAGGGAAAAATTATTAAAACACATTGTATTAGTAAACAGAAGGAACAAATCAGACCTTTATTAAGGAATTAATTATAGAAAATATACCAATTAAAAAGTGATAGTGGAACCACGGTCCCGGAGAATTTGACGTAAATACGTCTATACGAAAGCAAGTTTATATATTGGCATTATTCAAAATATTTCCTTTATACATGCTTTACAATTGAGTAAAGTTTGATTAAGACATTGATTATTCAACTTCAATTAGTTACGCTTAAATTGGGTCTGTGGTAGCTGAATGTAATGTAAAGTAATGTAATGTAATGTAAGGTAAGGTAAGGTAAGGTAAGGTAAGGTAAGGTAAGGTAAGGTAAGGTAAGGTAAGGTAAGGTAAGGTAAGGTAAGGTAAGGTAAGGTAAGGTAAGGTAAGGTAAGGTAAGGTAAGGTAAGGTAAGGTAAGGTAAGGTAAGGTAAGGTAAGGTAAGGTAAGGTAAGGTAAGGTAAGGTAAGGTAAGGTAAGGTAAGGTAAGGTAAGGTAAGGTAAGGTAAGGTAAGGTAAGGTAAGGTAAGGTAAGGTAAGGTAAGGTAAGGTAAGGTAAGGTAAGGTAAGGTAAGGTAAGGTAAGGTAAGGTAAGGTAAGGTAAGGTAAGGTAAGGTAAGGTAAGGTAAGGTAAGGTAAGGTAAGGTAAGGTAAGGTAAGGTAAGGTAAGGTAAGGTAAGGTAAGGTAAGGTAAGGTAAGGTAAGGTAAGGTAAGGTAAGGTAAGGTAAGGTAAGGTAAGGTAAGGTAAGGTAAGGTAAGGTAAGGTAAGGTAAGGTAAGGTAAGGTAAGGTAAGGTAAGGTAAGGTAAGGTAAGGTAAGGTAAGGTAAGGTAAGGTAAGGTAAGGTAAGGTAAGGTAAGGTAAGGTAAGGTAAGGTAAGGTAAGGTAAGGTAAGGTA